TGTTTAGAGTCTTTCTGGCTCACTCCCACTGTATTTATCGAGACAGAGTCTCTCAGTTGAACACAAAGCTCACACATGCAGCTGGTCTAACTAGCCAGCTAGCTGGATCCTCTGTTGCTGCCTTGAGGGATGGAAATACAGGCAGGCCACCACACCCACTTAGCATTTACATGAGCTCTGGAGGTCCGAACTTCAGTCCACACAACTGTGTAGCGGCTACTACTGAGCCATCCACTGACCAGGTTCGGAAAAAATCTCTAAGTTTGCAAGTTCTCAGAGCACTTCACAGTGTGTGTGTGTGTGTGTGTGTGTGTGTGTATGTGCGCGCGCGCGCGCGCCATGACTAAAGATGAACACTTAAACATTCTTGAAATTGATGGCACTCAATCACTGACCAGTTTGTCACCTTCAGGGCTTATTACAAGATTTGCACTATTTCTTTGAAAGTAACTTCTTTTGAATCAATGTTGTGAAAATGAGATACAGATTCCAATCAATTTTATTTTTCAACAGAACTTTTGCTATGAACTTAAGAGCTATGTGCAGAAGTCTTGCCACAAGCCAGGGCCATCAAATCTCAGCTCCCACGCATCAGTTTTATGGCCCTGATCAAAGGTTCCAATGCACCAAGGACCAAACCATGGGCCTCACATACAGCCACAAACAACCACTGAGTTCAGCACATACATCTATCACAAGTCACAGCTTACAGAGTTAGTCCAGTTGTGTTCCTCCTGAGTGACCAGGCTTCCTCTTCTGTTCTGTCTATAGTTGAAGGGTGACAGCAGCGTGACACCAACATGGTAAACAGCTCTTTGCCTCCTTCTCCTCAGCAGCTGGCTACAGTCTCTATGTGTGTCTCATCTTAGACCCGTGACTGCCAAGTCTACTGAACCATGACAGGCACGTCATCTCAACCCCGACTGGCAGGACCCCTTTACAATCTCCCTGCTTCCTTTGGATTTGACTACTTCATGTGAGCCTCCATGATCTCCTGGCCTGTTGGTTCAACATGCTCACTTTGATTTTTAAGCTTTTAGCTCAGGGCGGAATCTGCAGGAGTGTTTGCTTCACAAGTAGGAAAGAAAACAAGTGACCAAAAGGCAGGACCAACAAGGCTACAGGCCATCCCAGTAGACACAGAGACAAAAATATGTTTGGTGTCTGGTTGTAGGATGAAAGCTGTTTGCTTGGTTGTTTTGAGTTGTTTGGTCTTGGGGTTAGAATTTTTGAGACAGGGTCTCACTGTAGCTCAGGTTGAACTCAAACTAGCTATGTAACCAAGGATGACTTTAATCTCCTGATCCAAGTCCTAGGGCTACAGATGTGAGCCACCACACCCACCCAAGTCCTAGGGTTACAGGTATGAGCCACCACACCCACAAAAAAATTTGAATTTTTAATTTACTGTTTTGTTCTCTTCAAAGTATGAGTTCATATTGATATTTCCTATCCAGTTCCAACAACACATGTTCCTACTCAAATTCCTGATTCTCTAATTGGGGTTCTTCTTACAACAACACAATTAGATTCCCTACAAGAAAACCTAATTTCTTATCCCCATCATCTGGAAAGAAAGTAGTTCCAAAAGAAAGTTACTACCTTGTCTAATAAACCCTCCAATTAGCAAGTAAAGGTCAGTTTTCCTAATACTTTCATTGGGGTTGCTTTAACCACACTCAGCTTAGGAGTTGGAAAAGTCTCTTTGCTCTAGGGTCATTCCTAGTCTCTCATTGTTTGGCTCCATGAATCTGCCTAGTATGGAAAGTTGACTCACCTGCTTTACTTTATTTTCAGTTTGAGGACCCTGACATCAAAACTGGCCAACCAAGGGTCTTAGAAAGGGGAAGGTCTAACATAAATGTGCCTGCATGCAGTCACACACAAGGTGGGGTGGGGGAGAAGGAAAAGAAAGAGGAGGAGGAGGAGGAGAAGAAGAAAGGTTGTTTGTCAGTCACCAGGAGAGAGGACATTTTACCTCTGTAAAGAGAAACTTCATCAGCAAAGTGACCAACAAGTTACCCTAAGATGGGGGCAAAATAATACCCCAACTCAACACCACATTCTAGCTAATAAGAACTTCAGGACAAGAATGAGTTATCTCTTTTTAAGTCATCGATCAGTCTCAAACATTATAGGTTATTGCTATTGCTCCTGGTTACCTTCTACAACTTCACAGTCAGACTGTTGCTGAAGACACCACACACAGAGCATGGAGAAATCAAGCTGCTACTGACCTGGAAGTTTCCTCCCTACTGACTGGCTCCTATAGTGCTGGAAAATGCTATGCCTGCTGCCCGAGGAGTAACGCAATCATCAGTCCCACCCAACTAAGAATCCTGTGAGCTACAATGATGACTGGTGTTGCGAGACACGCCCACTGGTGTGATAGTGGCTCGCATAGTATAGGAGTAACCAACCACTTTCTGATTGGCTCTACGGCTTGCCCCATGAGATGGAAACCATGTATGTTAACAGGGCCAAGAACCTACGGATTATGGGTTGTAGGCCTTAAGGGAGAACCTAACACTATTATTCTGCTAAATGTATTAAAATGACTCCTGGTGACTTATCACTACAGTCATAGATTATCTCTCTCTCATCCCTTTTCAGATAAGTTCTTCCTATAGTAGACAGAAATTGACAAAGGAACCCACAACTGCTCTACATGTAGAAAATAAGAAACGAGAGTGCTAGGCCTAAATGTAATATAGGTTTCACACTCTCCCCATGCTCAGGGATCTTTGAGGATAAGGAGGCAGGAACATTGTAAGAGTCAGAGATAGTGGAAGATTTCAAGGAAGCTGTTTCCTGAGCATGGTAGGGTAGGTGCACATATAAACTCACAGCCATGGTGACAGCCTGCACAGACCTGTGTGAGCTCAGGCCAGACCAAACCCCAGCTTGGGGAAGGTGGCCGTGAAGTCGCACCCTTTGCTGAGAGGCTACTGGGATTTGATAGCTTCTGCGACAGGGTGAGTCAGCTTCCTTTTAAAATGTGACCCCTGCTAGGTCAACCACACTCCAGGGCAGGCCCCACTCCCAAGAGCAGCTGGGCAACACAAACTGGACTCATTTGAGAAGGAGATTCCAGAGTGGGTGGGAGGGAGAGTGAGGAGAGAGAGGTGATTGCAGGAGGAATTAGAAGGTAATTAGGAGGGGGTAGATGTGATCGAAGCACACTGTATGATATTCTCAAAGAAGCAATAAAAGCATTGCTTTTTGAAAGTGGAAATTTCTCCACAGACGTCTACAGTTTCTGATCATGTAGAAAGATGGCAGTGTTTCTAATTATAGTGGCCTCGGATGGAGGCTCTGGCTGCATTCTGTTCCTAGAGAACCCCAAATCCTTCCCCTGAAATCGATTACAAAAAGTCCCAAGCCCCGAGTCTCCCTTCTCTCAGAGCTTCATCTTTGATTTCAGAGTATACTTAAAAAGTCGAACTTCAGGCAAATGAATGCATCGTGTGGTTTTAGTTATCCAACTATAGTGCGCTCTCCAAAGACATTAGTTTAACAATCCCAATTTGAGAATAATTATTTTAGGTTGTGAAATAAGGTGTTGGAGAAAGGACCCCACTTCGTGCGGCACTGGCCAAGCAAGCTTTTCGGCCATATGCTTAGAGCCACACCAGGCTTTTTCTAACGCTCCAGCTCGAGGCTCTCCTTTGCCTTCAGAGTTTAAAACTTAGAAGAGTGGGGAAACAAAAGAAGGGCATGAGAGAGGGAAGGGGGGGAGGGGGGAAGAAAGAAAGGGAGCCGCTGGGGAGGAGGAACGTGGAAGGGGAGGAGATGGCAGGGAAGGGGAGGGGAGAGAGAGAAAACAGTAAAGCAGTTGGAAAAAAAGCCGCTGACAAACCATTTAACTCCACAGACTCAAATGTGTGTGAAAATCAACAAAACACATTCAATAAAGACCAAGAGAACCAATCAATCACTTCTCACCCTTTCCAGTTCACTGTCTGTCCAGAGGCGTCCTTCCAGCCTTCCAGCAGCTAACACCCTAATGCCTCTGAACAGGACTTGAAATTGGATACATTTCTAATGTTTACAGCTTTTCTTTTTTTATTTTATTTTATTTTTTTTATTTATTTATTTATTTATTGGTAAGTGGGGAAATCCTTTATCTGAAAGGGTACCTTGCAAATTACTTGCGTTTCAGCATCTTCCTGCTGCCCTCTACTACAGGAAACCTCCGTAGTGAAGACACCACGGTCTCCCACAGCACAGCCTAGGTATCTCCCAAGAGGGGAACTGTTTACCTTTGATCTGGCTGCAAAGGTCCAACAGCTGAGCCAGCGGAGTTCTGCGAATGAAGTGACTTCACCTGACTCAGGCCCCAGGAGGGAGTCAAAAGGCCTGACCTCTGCCCCTTCCAGCAGTGTCCCCAGGCCTTGCGCTTGCTTTGCAGCCTCGACCTTATAAGGAGGCTAGTGTGCAAAACTTGCTTGCCGCCCCTAGGCGATCTGGAAGCACGTGCTAGGTGAGCAGTTCCGGAGCAAGGTAGGAGCTAACCTTGTGCTGTTTCAGGTCTCTAGAGGTCTCCCACTCAGGTCCTCCTGGGTGTGGAATGCGACCTCACAGCCTCTCCTAGAGCTGGCAACTGCTCACTAAGAGATACAAGGAGGAGCCACTGCGTCTTCCTTTGGGAACCTCCAACTCTGGCAAGGAAATGTAAGGGTCCCCGGGAGCCAGAAAAACAAAACCAAATCTCCAGTTTGGGTAAACTCTAATGTTGTTCCCAACCTCACAGTGTGTACAATGCTTTAGCATGATTGGGCCGCATTGGGAATCCCCACTGCTGCTGACCCTTGACCTGAGGAACACCTCTAGGACATGAGTCTGGTCAGGGGCAGGCTAAAAATAGGGTGTACAACAAAAAGAAAGAGGTATAACTTGGTTTGGACTAGGTTTGGTTGTTGCGGCCTCCCCCTTGAAGTGTCTGTCCATCATCACCACCTTCCTCCCAAACAAAGGTTCTCTGTGTAGCCCAGACTGACCTCGAACTCGAGTCCTCCAAGGGCTGGGTTCCGAACATGTGCCTGCAGAGTAAGACAAGAGCAGAGAACCTAGAAAGGAGAGCGAGCCACGGGGCACACTCTCTGGTGTCAGAGACAGAAAGCGAAGACATGGTGACCGCTAAATTCTGCAAGCGACGATGGAGCTGTGTTCCGTGTAGGCCTGGGGACTTTCTCCAGTTGACTCCTGGTTCCCGGAAAACTAACCCTTTCCCTAAAAAAGGAAAAGCTCCCGAAAGCCCAGGGAGCTTCATCTCTAGTGGAAACAGAAAGCTATTTCAGAATTCACCACAAGGTGGCACCAGACACCCGTGCACGCAATGAAGGCGCTCCCTTCCGGTGGGCGGAGGAATTGGACAACCTGATCAAGTCAGACCAGATTCAAAGGAAACAGATCCGCAGAAAAGTCACACCGGCCCCAAAAGAAAACAGGCCCACGGAAAACAAGAAAGAAGCCTGTTTTAAAGAGATAGGGAGGCGTAGCACGGAGGCCAGATATCATCTGCAATTCCTCCGTCAAACGAAGTTTCCCAGGAAACTCCTTGACACGACAGGAGATAGTTAAGCGGGAGGTGGAAGCCAGAGAGGCTGTTTCGCGGTGGGCGCAGGTGGTTTCTGGAGCCAGGTACTGGTGGTGGAGAAATAAGCCTTGTGACTTACATTTGCTGGTATTTTCCACTAATAAAAATAAGTGAGCCGATAAGCCCTCAAATGAGTACTGTGAGGGCACAATAAAGACGCCGAAATGGTTGCCCATGATTAGAGGAAGGTTTTTCAAAGCTGCCGGTAAGAGAGAGAGAACATCCAAAGGTACTGGAAGAGTCCAGGCCAGAGGGAACAAGCTGAAGACTAGACATGGCCAGGGCTATCTATCTCTTGGGAGCCGAGAGAAGCAGGAAGATAGCATAGAGAATAACCAGAGTCGCAAAAAAGAGAGTAGCAGAGAATAGCACGTGCCGGGTGGGTGGAGACATTACAGAGAGAGCGAACTGGTATCTAGAAGGGAGGCCTGTGACCTGCAGCAGGCTGGGAGCTAGCACAGTGGAGAAGGAGCGGGAATGACCTGCCAGGGTGGCCTGGGCTTTGAGATGTAGTAGGGAGCTCAGCATGGGCTTTGATGTGTAACCACAGGTGTGTATCAGTGGGGAGCCACATGTCCCCTCTGCCAGGGGCAAGGGAAATGACTCCTGGCAGAGGGGAACCCATTTCGCAAGTTCCTGAGGAATACTGGCTTTTATCTAACCACCAGAAATCTTTCCATAGTCTACCTTGAGCTGAGCCAAGACTGCCGTTTCCAGCCATGGGCACTTCCTGAGACCTAACACGGTCACAGCAGACTACACACTGTTGCTTCTTTTCAGTTTTGGTACTTCCTGTGTACGGGTGAAGGGTGTTTGTACATCCCACTTGGTGCTTGTCAGGGAACAATCTCTGTGGTATCTGTTCTGTCTTGTACCTTTCTGTGGTTCCCGGGAGGGGGGCGGGCGGACACCCAGATCTCAGGTCTCCTCAGTCAGGGCCTTTCACTGGACTCAATTCACCCTGAGAATTAGTTTGTCAGAACTCCATTTTGGGTACCATTGTAGGCTGATGGTTTCAGATAGATTGTCTCAATTGACAACTGTAGTGTATCGATTGGCCAGTATCAACTGACACCAGCCTTTCCTCGCTTGGGTGCTCAACACTGCCCCACCTTTGGTCAGCAGGGACTCTTTAGACTGCTTATGCTAAGTTTTGAGTGATCCGATTGTCCAGAGCTTTGTTTTCTGACTGAACAAGGCATGGATGTTCTAAAATCCCCATGTGCGCTTCAGTCCCAGGGCAGACATGGAATGAGCCACTGCTTTAACACTGACTCTTGAAAGATAAACAACATTAGGAACCGAAATGTGGACATCAGTGTGCATTGTTAGGGTGGCAATTCTACCCTGCCATTTCAGAGGGGGAAAAAAGTACTTTTTTGTTTGTTTGTTTTGTTTTGTTTTTGTTTTTCGGGACAGGGTTTCTCTGTAGCTTTAGAGCCTGTCCTGGAACTAGTTCTTGTAGACCAGCCTAGCCTCAAACTCACAGAGATCCACCTGCCTCTGCCTCCCAAGTGCTGGGATTAAAGGCATGTGCCGCCACCACCTGGCCTCTTTGTGTTTTTTTTTTTTTTAAACACCAAATTATCTGCCTACAAGTTCCAAATGGTGTGACTTTCCATGTCAGGGGTTCAAAATGCTTGTGCACTTTATACAGGCATGACTTCCTAGTCTCTTGTTTTGTTTTGTCTTGGTTAGGATTTCTATTACTGTTATAAAATATCATGACCAAAAGGAACTTGGGAAAGGGTTTATTTTGCTTACACTTCCAGTCCATCACAGAGGGAAGTCAGGGCAGGAACCTAGAGACAGTTGCTGACACAGCAGCCACGGAGGCCAGGAGCCTTGCTCCTCATGGCTTGCTCAGCCAGCCTTTCTTTATAGAAGCCAGGGTGACCAGCGCAGGGATGACACTGTCCATAGTGAGCTGGGCCCTTCTACATCAATCACAAATTAATGAAATGTTCTGCAGCCTTTCTACAGCCCAGCCTTATGAATGCAATTACTCAGTTGAGGCTCTCTCCACTCAGAGGTCCCTGGCTTGTGTGAAGCTGACAAACCACTAGCCATCAAAGATTTGGTTAGAACGACACACTGTTCTTATGTAAATTTTGAGGTCTACAATTGGCCCTCCGGTTCACTGATCCCAAAAGCCAGACTCCTATCAGAATAAACACTATTTGTTCGCTTTATCTGATAGCTCAGGAAAATAACTTTTGAAGGAACTATCAATAGAGGCAGAACAAACACTGAATACATTTGGTTTTAGACAGCCCACCCCGAAAGGATCTGTTGCCAAGTTACTGCGCTCTCAGGTCACAAACTCTCATGCACCATGTGTGACGCAGGATGCATCAAATGGGGGGAATGCAAGTCAAATAATCCCAAGCTAACTCCGAATAAAGTATTTTAAGTTTTCTTTATTAAAAGTGAACTCACAGATCACAACAAGGAAATAGGAATGGGGTCGACATCCAGGAGTGGTTCGCGGGAAGAAGAGGTAAAGCAGGGTGGGACCATGACTTTTTGGTATCCGAAGCCAGGCCTCAACCTGGTCCAGCCTCTCAGAGGCCACTGGCTGGAGGAGGTTCCCCATCACCTCCCCCTTTTTTCTAAATAACAGAGTTCCAAACCCAATGCAAAACTATATACAATAAAAACAGATATCAATTATAAAAATTAGAATTACAACCAGTATAAACAATATCAAGGAAGAAACATATGCTAAATGTTTCAATAATCATTCTGTCTTAAGGAGTCTAAGTCTTGTATTAGAAATGGCTTGGCTAAATTATAAGAGGCAAGCACCTTCCAAAACATGCAGTAGATGACAGAGACGACTGGCTACCCCGCAATCACCCAGTCTCATTTGCAGTGCTGGAGCAACCAGGCCCCTAAAAGATGCTCTGAGGACAGCGGGGCCACAGTGCAGGTGTCCACCTCTTCCTGTTTGCAGCCAATCAGCTTCTGGGACAAACTGGTGATTTTCTAAAAATTCATTTTCACAAAAATTATTCATTAGTAATTAGCAAAAAAAGAATAGCACAGAAATACCAAGTGTTTGTTTATTGTTTGTTTTTTGAGGCAGGTTTTCTCTGTGTATCTTTGGCTGTCCTGGAACTCACTCTGTAAACCAGGCTGGCCTCCAACTCACAGAGATCCGCCTGCCTCTGTCTCCCAAGTACTGGGATTAAAGGTGTGTATTATCACGCCTGACTGAAATCTCAACTATTGAGCGCTCTCTCTCTTTCTCTCTTTTTCTCTCTCTATGTGTGTGTGCGTGCGTGTGTTCTCACATGTGTAGGTGGGTACATGAACTCATATGTGCAGGCCCTAGGTTGGCACTAGGAGTTTTCCTTGATCCCTCATTCAGCATTTATATAGGTTCTGGGGATCTGAACTCTGATCCTCACATTGGGTGCTTATGTGGCAAGCACTTTTAACTGTTGAGCCATCTCCCCAGTTCTAGTTAACTTTCAAGCCACAAAACCCTCCAGCACAATCCAAGTCCCTAGGTCAGTGGCTCCCAGCATCTGCTGAGATCTCTCCTGGCCCTTGTCTAGCAATTCCCACCGGGCCCTGCTGGGTCAGTGGTTTCCTGTGAGAATCAATTCCACAAAAACTCAAATATAATTTGGTGGGAGGGGGTGAGGTAGTGTCCAACCTTCTACACCAGAGAGCTCTGAGAAGGACCTGCTTTGTGAGGCGTTAGGACGAGACCTAGCCCAGTGCCCAGTTCAGACAGAGGATCCCAAGGGCAGGCTTGTTCTTATTCCTGTATCACACGCCTCTAGTTCTTCCCAGAGACCGCAGTGCATGATCATAGTTGATTTTAAACAGACAGAGAGTGACTTTTCAGACAGTCCATTACTAAGTAGCCTGCTATGGTCTGAATCTGAAACATCTCCCGTTGGCTCATGTACAAGGGTTTGGTACTGGAAGGCTTTGGGCAAGTGATTAGAGCAATGGAATAATCTCTTGATGTGGTCACAATTTGACATAGTTGGAGGCCATGTAAAGAGGAAGGGCCTCATTAGAAGAAATGAAGAAATGGGTTACTAAGAATGATCCCTGGAAAGATATTTCTTGTTCCCTGCCCCCACCCCTTCTCTCTGTAGTGATTTGAATGAGAATGGCTCCCATTGAGGTTCCAAAAGCCCACATCAGACCCAGTCCCCCCCCACACCTCTGCCTGCTGCCTGCAGATCAGAATGTAAAGCTCTCAGCTACGGCTCCAGCACCATGCCTGTCTGCTTCCCACCATGATGGTCATGAACTGGCCCTCTAAAACTGCAAGCAAGCCCCCAGTTAAACGCTTTCTTTTGTAAGAGTTGTCTGTAACCCCATTCCAGGGAATCTGATGCCCTCTTCTGGACTCTGGAGACACTGCATGCACATGGTGTGCTGACAGATATAGGAACACTCATACTTTAAAAAAATGTGACAGTCATGTATATGATAATTCCTGTAACAATGATGAATAAATCTATGTGAAAAATAACCAAAAGAGTAAATAAAAAAGAATTCTAAATGTATATGCTTGGGGCTGGGTTGGTAAAGTGCTTGCCTAAAATGTACAGTGGCCCTGGGTTCAATCTTGAGTGAGTGCCACATAAAAGCACTCAGAAGCAGAGGCAGGTGGATCTCTGAGTTCGAGGCCATCCTCAGGACAGCCAGGGCCACACAGAGAAACCCTGTTTCAAAAGAAAGGAAGGAAGGAAGGAAGGAAGGAAGGAAGGAAGGAAGGAAGGATACCATTTAAGCAATGAGCAAAAAAGAGCTAAACATTACCAGAGATAAAAAAGAAACACAAAGTGATGCTAAAAGGC